TTGATTCCGTTGAGTTACCGACAATCCTCACTGGGGATTGCTTGTTTCCACTGGCCGTGAGCAAGGGATCAGTATCATATATCAGATAGTAAACAAAGCAGTAAAATTTTAAACACCAAACACGCTGGCACTGTCCTTGTCACTCCTCAGAGTGCAGGAGCAAGGAAAGATGAGAATGAGTTTTCAAGAAGCACTTGGCCAAAACCTATAACATCCATTTTAAATGGCTGAAAGCCTTACCTTTGCTTTCATGAAAATGAGTGTTCCAACACCCAGGAGAAAATGTGAGAAAACGAAGCTACTATAACATATTTTAATAACAGCATAACAGTTATTACAATCAAAGGAGATTTGAAAATAGTAAATGAAGACTAAATTAACAGACGTCCTGAATTCTCCCATGTTTCTAACCCTTTCCACACTTCAATAAAGACTAGGGAAACAATCTTGTTCCACCTGACTCAGGTTGGTACTACCTTAGGACTCATCTCTGTGACTCAGCCCAAATTCATTAAGGTATTCACGAAGTGTTTCAGTCAAATAGCCCATCTTGGTTTCACCAAGGATGTTTTTATGCAATACACAAGTCCTTCTGAGCAGTATAGCAAATACTTTTTTCAATAACACAAACTGCAACTATATACATGGCCTGTACAGATGGCATGTACAGAAACCAAGTTGACATTATCTGTGGGAAGACATGATGGAGAAGCTCAATATCAGCAGCTAAAACCACACCAGGGACCGACTATAGAAAATACCACCAATGGCTCCCTTGTAAGTTGAGGTTGAAGCTGAAGACAATTAAAACCAGTCCACGAGACCCAAAATGCAACCATGTGTCTATCCCATCTGAACTTCAAGAACACATTTGATGCCCTGGACACTAATGACAGAGACCTGACGGGCTATGAGAGGACAGCAAGACCATCCTTCATGAGGAAAACAAAAGGCCATTAAAAGGAGAGGCAAGAAAGAATAGATCAAAGTAGATATCAGCAGAGACTGCAATTTTCTCTTTAGGAGCTAAGACAAATGGAAGAAATTATGAAGTAAAAGAACTAAATAGAAAATCTCAAAGAGCATCTTGAGGAGACAAATCCAAATATTATAATGAAATGTGAAAGACTCAGAGTTCACAAACCACAAAGGAAGAACCCACCCAGCATATCCCACTGAAAACAAAACCAGGGACAATGTCAAGCCTCCATCTTGAAACATTCTATGGACAACATATTGAACAAAGCCGGAATCATCAAAAGAAGATGGAGAGAAAACACAGAGTCACGGTATCAACAAGAACTAGTCCGCATTCCACCATTTTCGGAGGTAGCTTGTGAGCAAGGGCCAGTGATACTCGAGGAAGAAGTTCAAGCTGCAGTGAAAGCGTTAGCCAAAAACAAGGCTCCAGCACGTGACGGCACACCGACTGACACGTTGTCAACAAGCAGATAAAACACTGACAGCACGTACTTGTCTGTGCCCAGGAATCTGAACGACAGCTTCTTGGCCAACTGACTTGAAAGAGATCCATATCTGTACCCATTCCAAAGAAAGGTGACCCAACAGAAGGCCCAAATTATAGAACAATATCAATGATAGCACATGTAAGTAAAATTTTGCTGAAGATCATCCAATGGTTGGAGTAGTGCATCGATAGGGAGCTGCCAGAGGTTCAGGCTGGATTCAGAAGAGGATGTGGAACAAGAGATATCATTGCTGATGTTAAGTGGATGTTGGCTTAAATCAGAGAATATCCCCTCGCCCACAATAAATGCAGGTGTCGCCACCAAAAAATAAATCAGAGAATATAAGAATGAGGTTTACTTTTTTATCATTGACTATGCCAAGGCTTTCTACTGTGTGAATGATAACAAACTATGTATAATCATGGTCTTAAGAAGAATGGGAATTCCAGAACACTTCGTTGTGCTCATGTAGAACTTGCACATGGATCAAAAGGCAGTTGTATAAACATAGCAGGAATATTGCATGGTGTAAATTCACAAAAGGTGTCAGTTGTATCCTCTCCCCATACATATTCCATCTGTATGCTGAGCAAATAATAAGAGAAGCTGGATTATATGATGAAGAATGTAGCATCAGGATTGGAGAAAGGTTAGTTAACAACCGATGATATGCAGATGGCACAACCTTGCTTAGCGTGAGGAGGACTTGAAGCACTTGCTAATGAAGATCAAGGAGTGCAGCTTTCACTATAGATTAAAACTCAAAGTAAAAAAGACCGAAATCCTCATAACTGGACCAATAGGTGATATCATGATAGATGGGAAAACGGCTGACTTTGTCACAGATTTTATTTTGCTTGGATCCACAATCCATGACTCTGGTATCAGTAATCTAGAGATCAAAAGGCGAGTTGCATTGGGTACATCTGCTGCACAAGACCTCTTTAGAGTATTGAAAAGCAAGGAAGTTACTTTAAGGATAAGCAAATGTGGTGAAGAAAGCTGATGGTGCCTGATTATCAAAAGATATAGCATCTGGGGTCTTAAAGGCTTGAAGTTAAACAAGCAGCCACCTACCAGAGAAACAACAAGCCCACATGGAAGAAGCACACCAGCCTTTGTGATCATGAGGTGGTGACAGAATCAGGTAACAGGCACCAGAAGACCCAAAACAAACAAACAAAAAAAAACCATATTCTTGAGAATGAGGGGGGAGGGTGGAGCAGAGACCCAAAACCCATCTTTAGAAAATAGGACATCCGCTTACAGAAGGGTCATAAGAAAGGGATGAATCAACCATGCACAGTATGGCACCAGTGAAACACACAATATTCCTCTGGTTCTTTGAGGCTTCCACACCCCCAACTATCATGACCTCAGTCCTGCCTTTCACTGCAGGCTAGACCACAGCATGTGCACTGGTATAGAAAAGAGCTTGAGACAAACAGAACCCAGGTCAGATAAACACCTCAGGAACAGAACTGGAGTAGCAGTACCAGGAGGGTAGGGAGAAGGTGGAGGGAGGAGCAGAGGAAGGGGAAACAGATCATAATAATCCATCCATAATACCACCACCCTACAGGGAGATGAACAACAGAAACGTGGGTGAAGGGAAGCAGCAGTTGGTGTAAGACATGGAAACAATAATAATTTATAAGTTATCAAGGCTCACAAGGGTGGGAGGGGGGAGGGGGAAAAGAGGAGCTGATACCAAGGGCTCAAATAGAAAGTAAATGTTTAGAAAATGATGATGGAAACATATGTACAAATATGCTTGAAACAATTGAATGTTGTAAGATCCCACAATAAAATGATTTTTTTAATGGACTAAGGTATGCTTGCCCCAAGCCATGGTAGTTTAAATTGCCTCATATACTTGTGAAAATTGGAGATTGAATAAGGAAGACTGAAGAAAAATTAATGCATTTGAATTGTAGTGCTGGAGAATTGGAAGTAACATGGATTGACAAAAGAACAAGTAAATGTGTCTTGGAAGAAGTATGGCCAGAGTGCTCCTTAGAGGAAAGGAGGGTGGGACTTCGTTTTACATACTTTGGACATGATGTCGAGAGAGACCAGTTCCTGGAAAAGGACATCCATCGTGTCTGGTAAAGTGGAGGGGCAGCAAACCTGAGAGGAAGGCCCTCGACAAGGTGGATTGACTGCAACAGTGGGCTCACACCTAGACACAATTACGAGGCTGGCACAGGATCAGGCAGTGTGTGGTTCTGTTGTCCAGAGCGTCGCTGTGACTCAGATCCAACGCACTGGCACCTAGCAACAACAACAGAGTTGGGCCACCAACAGGTACAAAGTTGATCCTAGGGTTGAAGCCCATTGGGTTCCTACAGTGATGAGTTTGCATAACGAAAACAGCACTCAATATTTTTCTATTCCAAGAAGTTGTGTTAGAACTTAATTTCTAAGCACCCCATTTGCAGAAGGCTATGGATGACAGTATATGCCCCCAAGCCCCCTGTGGATTAAACCTCCATTGATCAGAGATGTGAATAACCTTGCCCTTTAGCAGAGGGTAATAGAAAGTGTACTCTTTCTAAAGATGACCACTGTCCAGCCAGCCCTGAGAAGAGAAGTTTCACTGAGGGACTTGTCAGGGTGGGTTCTTGATGAAGCTCACTGTAGTGGGGGTCACATAGTCATGAGTCATGCCCTGAATGCCTTGGTCAGAAGGTCCTGGACCAATCTTGATAATTCTTCTTTCCAAATAATGTACACGTCCCAATCATGATCCCGTTCTCTCTTCGGTGGTTTCACCTGTTGCAGTAATGTATTGATCTGCCATCAGCCATAAATTTATGACAGTTTTCCTTTGTGTTCATGCCTTATTTAAGTAACTGTGTGACTGTAAATATCCGGACATCATTATGACTTTGTGCTGGTACATTCTCTCATCTAGATGATGTGTCTTTGTCTTGGCTTTGTCCTGTTTAAAACTTAAGAAATTTTAAATTATTAAATTTAACAATAATTTAAATTATATTTGATATTTGGCATCTATTTTGTACCCCCCAAACATCACCACAGTAGTTTTTGAGTAGGAAAAATATTCTTCTAAATCATATCTCCTACAAATTGTTCTGTGGAAAAGATGCATACCATTTAACTTAAACATGCACGATTGGTGCTTTTATGACATACTACGACCACTAATTTTTCAGAATCAGTGAAACTCTACACAGTCAAACCTTCACTGAGACTTTTATATAAACTATTCATGCCCTTCTTTTCACCCATGTCAGAGAGATTTTTCACATGTTTTTAATCAAATATATCCTGTAAGTGTGAGCTCCTCGGTTGAGAAACTGACAATGTCAGAACAATGATCAAAAGACATTCCTAAAATAATTGTTCATATGTGAGTGGAATAAAAGGAGAAACACTTGGATTTTTCCAATCTTTGTATTATATTCCCCTTACACTTATCAACTTGTACGGAATGTTTCTATGGCCACAATCTAGGGTGAATCTGAGTCAGCATGCTCTCCCAGTTATTTGCTTGTTTGCTTTCAGATTGATCCTCCAACTTCCAGCTCAGCTCGGTCCTATGTTGTGAAGTGCTAATAGAACCATTCACTGTGGAGTCAGTCCTGACTCATGATGACTCCATGCGTGTCAACATGGAACTGTGCTTCACAAGGTTTTTGATGGCTGGCTTTTCAGAGGTAGGTCACCAGCCTTTCGGAAGTTTCTCTAGGTTGTCTGAAACCACCAACCTTCTGATTAGCCACCTAAGCTTTAAGCATTTAACTGCTGGGGACTCTGCAGGGGGCTGGCTTTCTGTTAGGTTCAGCGAATGGGAAGGATAAGTGAAAGATTGGCAGGCAAGTGGAAAGGAGAAGCCAGCTTTTCCCTCTTTTTGGTTTTGGAAAGTATGTTCAGCCACCCTTGCATCGCGTCCTCCAAACTCTTGTTTGGGGGTTGTTCCCTTCCAGGTCCCATCTTTGCAAGGGCAGCCTAGGTTCTGAGTTCTGAAAAAAAAAAACCCAACACCACTCTACCCCCCCTCCCCAACCTTTCTTCCTTTCATCCCTCTAGTTATACCGGTGGTAGAATCTTCCATTTGCCCTATCTCTTCATTGCCTGCCCAGCCATGTTCCTTTTCAGCCCTTCCACCATTTTAAAATCAGTGCCCCAGATGAAATTTCTTTTTTGTATTACATATTCCTAACACGCAAATCAATTAAAATGAGAATAGATCTTTTTTCCTCTGGGCATGCGCTATGACAGTACATGTAGAAGCTGTCAGTTCGTTTCTATGGCGAGCCCAAACCCGCAGCATCTGGCACTGATTACCTTGAAGTTTATATGTGAACTTTTGCCCACAAAGAGGACATTGTTTGCAAAAGTGTTAGCATATGCAGTAATTTTTGTGAATGCTCTCATAAACTGAAGCCATTCTCTGGTTATTCTGGAAATCAGAGAGAGAGCGAGAGAGCGAACAACCTACTTGCTGACTTTACTGTTGAGGGTCATAAAATTAATAAAGCGGTTCTTTAACTTTGCGTCAGCATCACTTAGGAACATTAAGAAAATATCAATGTGCAGAAAAATTAAAATGAGAATCGGGGGGACCCCGATATCAATATTTTTTAAGCTTTTAGGTGATTCCCAGGTGTACCCAGAGTAAGTACAATGCCAATGTTCTGCTGTTTTCCCACTAACCAATCGCTGCTGATTGTAAATACGTCCATGTTAACCTGATTCAGGTGGCTGCTTCCCTTCTCTTCTGCTTGTCAGCATCCGCACTGGGAAGGGTTCTGAGACTAGGAGACAATGCAACCCCTCCCCCCACAGTGTGTGTAAGTGCAACTCGAGTTGTGGGCAGCGGTGTGGCTGTTGAGTGCCATCCAGTCAGTGTCCGTGCATAGTGACGGTATAACCCACAGAAGAAAACTCCGCCCAGTCCTGGGCTGGCCTCAAAACTTACACTTGAGCCCACCTTTGTAGTCACTGTGTAAATCCATCTCATTACAAATCTTCCTCTTTTTTCTGTCCCTGCACTTTACCAAGCTTGATGTCTATTTCCAGGGATTGGTCTCTCCTAATGACAAATCTAAAGTAGTTAGATAAAGTCTCACCAACCTCCCTTCCTAGTAGCATTCAGGCTGTAGTTTTGCAAGACAGACTTGTTTGTTCTTCTTGTAGTCCACAGTATTTTCAATATCCTTTGCCAACACCATAACTTCAACCTATCAATTCTTCTTCAGCTTCCTTATTCAATGTCTGACTTTCACACGCATCTGATGCAATTAAAAATACAGTGGCGTGGGTCAGGTGCATCTTAGCCTCAAAGTAACTTCCTGGCTTGTCAACACTTTAAAGTGGTCTTGTGCAGTAGACTTACCTAATGCAGTGTCATTTGGATTTCTTGAGTGCTGCTCCCATGAGCATCAATTGTGGATCCAAGCAAGATGAAATCCTTGACAACGTCAATCCTGGATAGAGTAGGAAAAAAATGTGGCGAACTCGAAATCATAAAAATGGCCAGATGTCCTGGTCAAATGGAGACTAGGGGACCCTTGAGACTCTGGGCCTTCATCACCTTTCATACTCAAGTCTTCAGTCACTTTTGTTCAATTCATCAAATATGTTCTTGAGATGTTCTCTAAATCCATGTGGGATATCCTCATGGTCGTATATTGGTTCTCACAGGCATGTTCTAACTTTTTTGTTTAAACCTGAACTTGCGAATGAGAAAGTGGTCTGTTCCACATTCAGCATCTGGTCTTGATTTGGCTGATGATATTGAGTTTCTCCATCATCTCTTCCTATAGATGTAGGCACTTTGATTCCTATGTGTACCATCTGGCTAAGCCTATCTGAATCGTAACTGGATATGTTGTTTAAAAAATGTAGTATTTACAATGAAGAAATCGTTGGTTTTACAAAATTCTGCTGTGCAATCTACTGCTTTGTTTCTATCACGGTGGCCATATTTTCTAATGATTATTTCTTTGTTTTGTTTCACGTTTTCACATTCCTGTTGTCAATAATTATCAATGCATCTTGATTGCATGTTTGATCAGTTTCAGATTTTTGAAATTGGCAACATCCTTCAATTTCTTCATCACTAGCTTTCGTGGTTGGTGCATAATTTTGAATAATAGTTGCATTAACTGGATATCCTTGTAAGCAAATAGATGTTAAACAGGTTATGATTGTAGCTGTGATGAATACCATCCTCAATCTACTGCCCTCAGTTCTTAGACCTGCCAGCAATGGTCTGATTATCTGGAAATCAGCAAAGCAAACCTACTGCCATCAAGCCAATTCTGACTCCTAGGGAGTCTACAGGGTTTCCAGGGCTTTCGGTGTTTGTGGGAGAAGAGACCTAGGAGTCAACCAGAGCCCTCCTTTTTCTTACCTTTACCACACGGTTTTGAACTAGTTTATTCCGGTTGGAAATCCCTGCCAATAATTTCCTACTCCAAATATACAGAAGCAGAATCTATGTTCTCACAAGGTCCCTAAGTGTTTCTTAATAAATCCCTGTTAAAATGTAGATTCTATTTCTGTATGTAGAGGGTGGAAATGCACAGTCGCAGAAGAGGGTAGAACCAGAATGAACTGGTTTGAAGCCCTGCTTTATCCTCATCACCACACAAGCAATCAACCAACAAGTTCTGTTGACCCTGCTTGCAAAATAATCCTAAATCTCATTGGATCATTTCTGTCTCTACTCTCATTAATGTGGTCAAGGACGATGGTTCTTAGACTCCCCTGGAAAGCGTTAATCCTCAATTAAAATAGAATCCCTGGAGGTAAAATCATGCTCTTTATTCACATGGGAAGCAGGAAGAAAGATCCCTAGATCTAAAAGTTTCTGTTTGGGGATTTAGCAAATATTTCCTGAAGACCTTGTTTCTTCAAAGTACCCCAGTGCTAGAATCGGGATGGGAAAGATAAGTATGGATGGTGCTGTTCTTAAAGATTTGCTACTACCTAGGAAGCTTTGATTCACAATGGTTAAGAAGTTGGCTGCTAACTGAAAAGTCGGAAGAACAGACCCACCAGCTGTTCCACAGGTGAGGAAGACCTGTCTGGCCATACCTATAACAGCCTAGAAAGCCTTGTCCTATGAGGTCACGATGCGTCAGAATGAGCTCCAAGGCACTCAACAACCAAACCTGAACAAAACCAAACTCACTGCCCTCGAGTTGATTCCAACTCATAGTGACCCTATGGGACACAATAGAATTGTCCCCATGGGTTTCTGAGACTGTAACTGTTTATGGGAGTAGAAAGCCAGTCTTTACCCTGAGGAGCAGCTGGTGGATTTGAACTACTGTCCTTGTGGTTAGCATAACCCACTATGCCACCAGGGCTCAAAGGAACTCAGTAAGAGTAAGGAAGAAGGCCGTAGACCCTAGCCTGAGTATAATGAAAGTCAGAGAAGCATTAATTTCAAACTCAGTCTAGTATATTTCAGATTGGATAACTAGGCCAATAGTTTGGGTGAAGACATTTTAATCTCATTCCAGCAATGTGGCACATGGAATTTTCCCCAGGGGTAAACCAGCAGACTGGAGAGAGAAGCTCCTTTTAATAAATAGATAATGTCTGCTTCCTCCTGGATTAACAGAGCACTTTCAGCATATCTCTGTTTTCATTTACCACATTTTAAAATATTTGTTTACATGACCTTAAGAGCATCTGTTTTTCTTATCTACAAAGTGAAAGCACTGAGTTCTAATTTTGTTTTCATTTCACTTCTATGTTCCCATGAATTTTAATAGTGGAACCAATTGAACTGGATCCAAAGAGTCCCCAAAGAAGTCGTTCTCTTAATAGGAAAATAACAAAATCATTGACTATTCCATGAAGAGGGAAGCTCAGAATCATTCAGCAGCTTACAGATGAGTCTGTTAGGCCTGGAAGGAGCATAGAAAATTAATCAGATCATAAATTAATCAGATCATGCAACTGGTTTACTGACAGAGCCAGGGCCACAACACAAGCTGATCTTTGAGTTCTTGTCTCAGTGCACTTTTAAATAAGTTCTCGCTCACACTCTCTCTCTCTCTCTCTCTCTCTCTTTCTCTCTCTCCCCCCATGGAAAAGGGGTATATACACACCCCTTGGCTGGCTACTAAACCTGGCTAAGAAATACAGAAGATAATCCACACATCTGAAAAAGAGAAACTTTATTCACAGAGAAATGAACTGTCCCCAACTGTACAACCACTATGGAGGATGGGGTGGCGATTCCTTAACCGTATGCAAATACAAATACCTTATGATTCTGCAATCTCTCTACTTGGTATATACCCTAAAGAGATAAAGAACAGAACACAATACAAAGGGACACATGCACATCCATGTTCATTGCAGCAATTTCTGTAATAGCAAAAGGATAGAAACAGTCAAGAAGTCCGTCTGTAGAAGAATGGATGAACAAACCACAATGCAAACACACAATGGAGGATTACGCACCCCTTTAAGAAAAGGACAAGTCTCTTGAGTATCTCCTGACATGGACAACATTGGAGGACATTATGCTCAGCCAAGTCAGTCAGTTGCAAAGATAAATATGTGATGTTATCATTATTATAAAAGAAGAACTAAAAATCATTTTCACACCAAAGGAACGGACTCTGAAGACTTTGATGATGCGGGCAGGGCCGGGGGGAGAGGGAGAGAAGGCAGATGGAGGTAAAGAGGG